CCGGGAGCCATAACAGCTGATTTTTCTCAGGTGAAAATGGATCTGTAGTGGAGCAGGTCTCAGATCCAGAGTCTGTGTGTCTGTGGGATGTTTATTCTGCAAGGCAGATAATGCACACAGATATTAAGAATGGGCTGAATTAGTGTCCAGGAGCCCTTGCTAAGAGGACTCTGCAGTATATTTGCATTTAAACTATGAGACTCAAATTCCACCCCAAAAATACAAAGAATAAGTAAAAGGAGAGGAGATGTTTATATCTTTGGCATGTAGATGAAAAGATAGTCATCAGGCAGCAAAGTGTTTTGCTCAGGATGGCAAAAAGCACAGATGGGACCTTTGTTCAAGCCTCTGCTCTGGTCCTTGCCACAAACCACAAGTATATTCTCCCATACCTTATAAATTCTGGCTTTTCTGTCTCCCATTCACCTACAACCCTTTTGCTACCAAGACAGTAGGTCAGGTCTTTTGGACATCCTTGAGATCTACCTCAGACCCCTCACAATCACGTGTCTAAAGGTCTTGTCTCTAAGTATTCCCTGGAAGGTAACAACAAGCACTAGTTAAACCTTCCACCATCATGCCCTGTGATCAATCCACTTCCTATTAACGGGCTTTTGCTCCTTTCTGGAAAAAGTTGGCTTCATTTAATAAAGTTATGTAACAGAGAGATCAAAGATCACTCCATAGTTAAAGTCTAAGGGCTAAAATCCCCCAGTTTCACTGTTAAAAGATTTAAGTCTCCATATTTTATACATCGTGTCTTCGGGCGACAACTGAGTTATCTGAAATTTTATTGTCCAAGATTTATTGGCTTTGCCAAAAGAAGCAGTTTAAAATAAGCTGTCCTTTCCCTTGCACTTTTTCCTCCTCTTGACCTTTCTCTTTATGTTCCTAGAGTAGATTCACATCAGGGATTTTGGCTTGCTAACAGCATATAAGGCATCTCCAGTTGTCCTGTTTCAGTTCCCTTCCTGTCTTTGTTACACTGCAACAATTCTTAATACTGAATAGAGCTTTAATTTTAAAGAGCCCTTTGGAAAGGCAGCCCTTAGCTAAGTTTTATTAACTACTTTTTCTTGGTGCCCTGTAGACACAGACCCAGAGGTGTATGTTCACAGCACTTACTAGAGTCTTTAATTTAGTAATCAGGAGTCATCTCTTGCACTGAGTACGCAGCGAGCCAGGATCTGGCAGCCCAGGGGAGTGGGTGGGCTGAATCATTTCTTTCTCTTCTGAATTTGGATGGCACAGTAGTTGCAATGACTAAATTAGATTCCTGAAGTGGATGATCCTATCAAAGGCCTGGTGGCCACAGGCATTCAGACCAGACACCAATCAGTTTTTCAAAAACACTCACATACCAGTTAGGTCCTTAATATTTCCCTGCATTCTATTGCTCCACCAAGAGTGTGCTAGGCAATACCTGCATTTTCTGTTACTGTTCAGCCTGCCTCTTCTGAAACACCTTCCTGCTCCTCACCAAGAACCTGGCTGCCCTGCCTGCTGGGCAGCAGGAGATTCAGAGGCAAGCAGTGATTTGGGGAAGCAAGGACCTGGGGGCAGTGCCCCTGTTGCTGGTGGCACTGATGCCTTTGTGCACCACAGAGCAGCAATCCTCACGCTGAAGAGTTTCCAAGAGCTGCTGGAGGCCCAGAAACCAGGCTTTGACCTGTTATGAGTTGCAAAGAAAGCTCTGCTTCCTCTCTTGACTCCTTCACGATGTCCTCTCTTCTCCTTCTCTCCACCCATTTCAAAAGTGCCTCTTTACCCTTCCTCCTTCCCACCTGCTTACTCCTACCATGAGCCCTGCTGTAACCTCCACGTGTAGCTGGTGCTTTGCCCCATCACACTCTGCCTGGCCCATGGCAGGACCTGCTCTACCTGTGTCCCTGTCTCTTTGGGCCACTGCTCTTGTGCTCTTCATGTGAGCATCAGTTGAAGGAACTTAGGCAGGTTAGTGGGGTGCTGCAGGATGTGTCTGTATGCTGTCATCCAGAGCTTGTCCTTCACCCAGCCAAACTGGCTTCACCTTCTGTGCCCCTGCTTCAACATGCTTATCGATTTCTGGGCCAACCTGGCTCAGAAATGGCACACTTGAGTCAGCCCTGACCAGAGCTTGTGCTGGAGCGGAGGTAACTGGGAAAATAGCATCTTTCAAGTCAACTGATGCCATCACTGGTGATTTCCCAAGTGCTGAGCAGTTGTTTGGTTGCATTTGTAGACTGGGAATTTGCTGGTTTTCCCTTTGGGCTTTGAAAGACAGAAACACTTGCCTGTGGAGATGAAATGGGCCTTGGGGTAGGCTGACCATGCTCTTTGCTTTCAGGTGGGAAACCTCGGACTCCTTTTCATGCTCCTCTTTTTCATCTATGCTGCTCTAGGAGTGGAGCTCTTTGGAAAACTGGGTAAGTCTCAAGCAGACCATCCTTCAGTGTAAGCTGTAGATTTGTTGGGAGGCTGAGGTTTCTCAAAAGCAATACTAATTCAACAAAGGGACTGAATTACTCGATGGCCTTTATTCTCCCTTATGCATAATTGATGCAAGAGGAATTTTCCTCTAAATTATTATTGTCCTAATGGCCTAACAACATAAAAACAGCATCTGCTTTGTCTTTCATTTTTAAACTTTTGCTTTTTCTGCACTGCCTACCTTGATAGAATCTTCAAGATTACAAGAAAAACTCAGGGAAAGTTTATTTGCCTCTCTTGTCGTGGAATATTTATCAAGAGGAGAGATAGCACAATGACATGTTGGGATGATATCCCTGAGCAACTCTGCTACACAGCCTGATACCCTGAGACTGGGCCACCAGGGATGTTTCTGTATTACTGGCCAACAGCTGACTGATGGTCAGGGTGCTAGTGCCGTTGTTGAGGTCTCCAGGCTGTGAGAAGCCCCAGGTCCCTTTTAGCAGTTCCTGCTGTTGATCTTGGGGCTGGCACCCTGTCCTCTGGTGACAGCATGATCTCCTTCCTTTCAGTGTGCAACGAGGAGAACCCCTGTGAGGGCATGAGCCGTCACGCCACCTTTGAGAACTTCGGGATGGCCTTCCTCACCCTCTTCCAGGTGTCCACGGGTGACAACTGGAATGGGATCATGAAGGTAACTGGGCCTCAGGGGCACGGATGTCCTCATTGTGGGGAAGGAAAAGTTCCAATGTGTGTGCTCTGTACAGCAGTGCTTGGGCTAGAAGAGGGAAGGAGTGCAGGAGATGGGTTGCTAGGTGAGGTCCTTGCTTAGGCCAAACTCTCCCTCCCCACCATGGTAACTCAGACCTTGAGCTCATCTAGTCCTACATACATTTGGCTGAGAAAAGTGCAAATTGTCCTTCAGAGGAACAAGAATACTATCCAGGCTAAGAGAGAATATTCGTTGTCATAAGACCTGTTTTCAGAGCTGAATGTAGGTGCATTGGACGTGGCACCCACCTGCAGAGCTACCAGGGCAATCCAAAATAGAATCATAGAATCATAGAATCCTTTAGGTTGGAAGGGACCTTTGAGATCATCAAGTCCAACCATTGAGCCATTAGGGCTCTAAAGTCCTCTGCTAAAACAGATCAGAGTCTGTCAGGGTTGGAAGGGACCACAAGGATCCCCCAGTTCCAACCTCTCTGCCATGAGCAGGGACACCTCCCACTGGATCAGGCTGCCCAGAGCCTCATCCAGCCTGGCCTGGATATAATGTAATAAATACTTCCTTCCTTCAAAGGACATGGAGAGAGGAGAGTTCCTTGAACACACATGGTCCTTCTGAGTCTGGATGGGAGAAGGCAGTACCAGACTGCTCATTTTTGTTCTTGCTCACATGTGTGGGGCTTTAGTGGCAGCAACATGTGATGGTCTGGAGGTAGCTCTCTACACCTTTGGACTTAATTGCTCTGAAGCAGGGAGCACATGATCAAATAGTGTCCCAGATTCTCTCAGGACCCCGTGATCCCAGAGGGTGTGGGGTGATAGGAATGTTTGCCTTGTCCTTTTAATTTCCATCAGTGGTTTTTGGACAGAAAGAGCAGCCAAGCTTGTATTCTTACTTTAGTCCTTCCTTCCTTCCTTCCTCCCATTCATCGTTTCCTCTCAAACCCAACTTGCCCTCCAGGACACCTTGCGTGACTGCAGCCACGACGACCGAAGCTGCCTCAGCAACCTGCAGTTCATCTCCCCACTGTACTTTGTCAGCTTTGTGCTCACAGCCCAGTTCGTCCTCATCAACGTGGTGGTGGCTGTGCTCATGAAACACCTCGACGACAGCAACAAGGAGGCCCAGGAGGATGCAGAGATGGATGCTGAGATCGAGCTGGAATTTGCACACGGGCTGTGCTCCCGCAAGTCAGGCTCCTCCAATTCAGGGCAGGGAAAAGGAGCAGGGACAGGAGGAGGTGGTGGAAGAGCAGATCCCGAAGGACGTCTGTGCGTGCGATGTTATTCTCCAGCACAGGTGAGCACCCCTTTGAGCTTACCAAGCAGGCTGCACCAAGTAGCTGTGGGGAGAAGCTGGGCAGCCTAGGTGACTGAGGGCTTAGCAGTAGGAGGCATACTCTTCCACCTCAGGCTGAGAGGTTTACTTTCAGTGGTAGACTTTTGAGCTGTTAGCATCACATGGGGACAAGGCCATGACAGCAGTGAGTCTTGTTCATTGTCATCACGGTGCAGGAACCTGAGGACCAGCAGAGGCGGGATGGAGCAGATCAACTAAAGTGGTGTTAGGAGCAAATTGGAGAGGGCAGCTCAGGAGAGGAGAGTGGGGTAACTGGCAGATCAAGAGTGAGGCACTCCAGCAGAGCTGGAAGGAAGGTGTGAGCAGTGCTGTAGTGCACTGACAGTAAGTAAAGACAGTCCCTCCTTTTTTTTCAGTTATTTTTTTTTGTTTGTTTGTTTTCATTGAACTCTGGCACCTTTCCACACCCTGAGGAGCAAATGCTCCCCCAGTGACCCCGTGCAGGTACCTGCAGAACGAGGTGCTGCTCCAGATGAGTCAGGGTGGAGAACCCAGCCCCAAAAATTCACGTGAAACCTTGAAGCGAAAAAAAAACAACACAAACCTCGACATTCTTAAAATGCTCTCTCCCATCCTCCCCCCTTTCTTGTCCCCTAGGAGAACTTATGGCTGGACAGTGTCTCTTTAATTATTAAGGACTCCTTCGACGGGGAGTTAATGATCATCGATAACCTATCGGGCTCCGTCTTCCATCATTACTCCTCGCCGGCCATGTGCGAGAAGTGTAACCATGACGAGCACGAGGTAACCTGCGTCCGAGGCTGCGTGAGGGGACTCTGCCCCCAAGACCTGTACCCCCACACCCACATGCCCGCAGGTCGTCCCCCCCGTGTGCTCCTCACTCTAGGGGGTGTAGGCAGAGAGCTTGTCGACCTGCGTTTGTCCCCCCCCACCCCCCGATCGCTGGCGCCGCCCTCCGTCGCCGCGGGGGGATGTTTGAGGTGGTGAAAAGGTGAGATGTGCCAGGGTACAGGTCAGGGTTCTGCTCAGGAGGAGCTGAGTGAGCTGCAGAGGAATGGCTGTGGCCTCGTGGAAGTTCTCGTTGTGTTCAGTTTTGCAAGGAAAGATGAGTTTCAAGCTCCTGTTGCTTCAGAGGATCTCACCCCGACGATAGCTCTCAGAGGAGATGCAGTGGGAGATGTAAGCATGTGTTTTGTCTTCATTTTAAGCATGTGCTTGCTTATTCCCTGTTGAGGTTGATGAATTAAGCACATGCTTAAATGCCTTGTTGAATAGAGTAACCATCTGTGAGCAAGGGCTGGTTTGTGGTGAAAACCAGTTAATGAGCTAGAGCAAAAACTATATAAAAATGGGCCCATTGAGGAAGTTTGTGAGTCTCTTTTTCTGACACAGAACCTGTTAGCTGATAAATGGGTTGTTGCTATGAGCAGGACACCAAATGGCTTTGACTTGCTTTTCAAGTTAGTAGGTGCTTTGTAAAGCTGCTTCCTAAGCAATTAGTCTTTTCATGTTGTGAAACTTCAGGAGCAAAGTAGTTTGGGAGAAGTTAGGTGAGTGGGAGAATTAATTTTGTTTCTGAGATCCTTTTATTGTATTTAAGTGCTGTGGTCATGGCCAGACTTGGAACAGTAGCGTGGCTCATCTGACAGCAACTGATCAGTACATCAGCACCAATCTTCACCATCTCCTTCCCCAAAACTAACTTGATTTGTTGCCATTGCCTATAAGGAAACCAGGAAACTTGGGAAGAGAACTCTCACTGGCAGATTACTCTGTCCTTGTTTGAAGAACAGAATATTTTGTATGGCTTCAGATGAGTTGTTCTGGTGCTCTGATTTTTCCCAGCCTTTCAGCTATCTCTTGTCCCCACAGCTTCCCTTTGAGCGTACCAAAATATGAACCTTGCTGTAGTTTATCAGTATTGCAACAATTCATAAATGGATGCTGCATTCATGCAGCCCAGTAATTAGTTTTCAGTTAACTGCAGTTTCTTCTGCTTTATCTAAGTCCTTGTATTCAGCAGTTTCTGCTCAGCCTTCTCAGAAAATCAGGTTTTATAAGGCATTCCAAATGATTGCCCCAAAATTAAGTCATTTGCAGCTTGTCTGCTGCATTTGAAAACCTTCCAGATAGCCTTCAGTATCCTGCCTAGGAATGAAGACAACAACAACAACAGATTTTCCTACCTTCCCAGCAAGGAAACTAGGCAGCAAAATCAAGTGCAAACTACAGCCACAGCAAAGAGTTTAACAAAATAATCCCAAGCAAAGAATTCTTCTCAGGTCAGATTTTCTAATGGCCACTATAGAGCCATAAATTCTTTTTCAAAATTGGTATTTCAATATATCTAAAATGTTGAATTGAAAAGAAATTCTCTATATCTCTGGGAATAACTGCAGTAGTAAAATGTAGATATTTGATTTCTGATCATATGAATCAAAACTTCAGCTCAGGATTTTAAGTCACAGTTGCTCGTGACCTTCTCTTCCTATCTCACAGTATAAAAAGCACTGAGGAAATTCCAGCAGGAAATCACTACATGGAATCACACCTAGGCTTGTCCCAGCAGTGCACCTGGTCTGTAAATTAGAGTGTGCTTGGGCACATGCCATCCCCAAATGTGCTCTGTTAACCCCTCCCTTCTGCCAAAAATCACCTATTAGCCCAAAATTTTCACTCCTGTTTTGTTTGCAGTTTAATCCACCAAGATGCTGAGCACAGTGGAGGGACACAGCACTTAAACACACCCTCAGAGTTATTAACATGTGCTAAGCTTTTTGCTTCATTGAGTAGAGGTGCTCAGGGTCTTTCCCAGTGATGCTGCTGGCATCTTATTTTCAAACCAATTATTTGTACAATTAAGGATTTTTGTAATCATGGCTCTGGTTTTAAAGATAGGTTATTTCCTGCAGGGTTTGTGTGCATGGTTCGGTGTCTCAGGCTGGTGTCCCTGGGAGTTTTTATGGGTTATGCTCCTAGTGAACAGCCCCTTCTCTCTCCTCTGCAATATTAAACATTTTTTATTCCTCATCTTTAGTCAGATCTTAAAATAACCTGCACTAAGGGAAGCTATAAGAACAAGCCATGGCTTTTTTCGTGCTGCTGGCCTCTTCTCTTGTCATCACTATCCATTCACTCGTGGGCTAGGTGACAGACATCTGTGTGTTGGTGTCTAGTGGTGTGTTTAGCCAGTGGTAGGAGTCTGCCCGTGAGCAGTGGGGAACCATGTTCCTACATGTGCAGTTTAGCTATTCATGGCTTTGTTGATTATGGTTTTTTTTTGTGTGGATCTCAGGGTGGCCAGAATTTGTGAGCAAGATGTTCAGTGGAGAACAGGTTATTCTGGCTTTTGTTGAAACCCTTTTTTATGGATGCGGAAGGTGGTGGCAGATGTTACCAGGTTTCAGGCTGGTGTCTCTACAAGCACAGCTCTAAGGCTGTCCTGGTGTAACAGGCACTCAGGGGAGTGATGGATGAGTATGTGCATGAAGTGGGACTGAACAAAGACTGTGCTTCTCCACACAAGGTGTTGCTGACTGGTGGCTGTGTAGCGTGCTTGGTGTAACTTCATCATAGGTTCTCTGATGTGTTCACACTCTGAGCAGCAGCTTTTGGTTTTGGGCTCTCTTCAGGGTTTGGTGCCTTGTTCCTGTGTCAAAATAATACCCCAACCAAGGATGTCATTTTTGCCCTTTATTTAAACCCAGTTCTGGTTTTCTAAAGTGCATTGTCTCTCAGATAGAGCCCTCTTCCAGTCTCTAGCATTGGCACAAGCCACTAAACTCCCAGCTCGAAGGAGTCATCTCTCCAAATGTTTCACCTGCTCTCGTAGCAGAAAAGCTGTACCCACCTCTTGCAAACACACAGACAGAGAAGGACAAGATAAGTGGCCAGGAAGCAGCTGTCCTGATGGGGATAACCCACAGTATAGCTCTCAAGAGTCAGGTGCTTGTGGGGGGAACTGGTGGGGTTCTAGAGACCAGTGATGGAAAGCCAGGCACTGGAGGGACAGAGCAGCTGCTTAGGCTACTGGAAATAGGAGAGGCTTTTCAGGCAATGTGGGAAAGAGATGTCAGGCAGAGGGAAGGGGATGGGGGAGGGACACATGTGGTATGAAACAGGCCAGAAGACCAAGTTCAGGCACGGGACTGGAGCAGAGCTTAGGTCAGACTTGGTTTCAGAAACCAAAGACAGCACAAGCATGAGTGAGAGGGAGGGATGAGTTTAAGATGGGAGAGGGTGTTAGCTGAGGTCTTGGGTAGCTTTGAGTTGAGGGGAGAGGGAAGACACAAGGGAGCTGGAGGGAAACAGGGTTTCAGTGACAAAGGTAAGAAAATATGACAAGCATGATTCTGGCATGGACTGCAAGAGGCATGACTCTCCCTGGAATGAAAACACTTTCATGTTTAAGCAGGGCTCTCCGTGGCGCCTTCAGAGAGAGGACTCCACCTCTGGGCAGAGCAGGCTGCCTTGGCACCAGCCTGAGGGAGCCCTCTGCCCCCCTGGGCTTTACTTGCAGGGCCCTGTGCCAGCCTCAGTGCTGGGACAGATTCAGGACTCCTTCCTCCAATTCTGGCACTAGAGGAGCATGGCGTGGCAGTGGGCTGCCTGCAGATCCTATGTTCTACCTGCCTTAAAAAGTGGATTCTCCTGCCCAGCTCAGGTCTGGGTTAGGCAGTACCTGATGTATCCAAGGAATACAACCTAAAACTGATCTCTGGTCTACAGGCTCTCTCTTAGCCACCATAAACAGTGTGACTGCTTGAAGCACAGATGCCAGGCATGACCTGTGACAGCTCCTTTCCCTTCCTGCAGGTTCAGCTGGCTGAAATGGAAGCATTATCCCTCAACTCAGACAAGTCCTCTTCCATCCTTCTAGGAGACGAGCCGGACAATCGCAGCACTTCTCAGCAGAGTCCTAAGGAGATCAAGGTTAGCCCCAGTAGTCATTTCTGCCCCTGCTCGTTCCAAGTGCTCTTCAGTCATCCAAATGTCCCTGCTGAGGAATATAAATTCTGGTCGCTTTTCAAGAACTTCTCCATAGAGACATAGAAGGATTTGAGAAGGAAGAAAAAAAAAGGATGTATGCTTTTCAAAGTTCTCTTCACTACTGTCAGTAATTTCCTCTGAATGAGTCTAAATTTAGGGTTTTGGGCTGGAAACCTGAGCATCTCTTATAGCTAGCTTGAAGGTATCTTTAGCATCAGCCCTTCTTGAGGCTTTGACAAGTCTATTCTGTCAGCTGCTGTTAAATTTCACAAGGCTTCCTCATCTCTTGTTTGTTTCCAGCAGGATGACCAGGACACCCCTGACTCCAAGGGGGTAGGAGATCTAGGGGAATGCCTGCTCCCAGTATCCAGTGTGGATGGCTCTACAATCCCAGAGAGTTACCTGTGTGAAATGGAGAAAACTCCTTTCAACTCAGTCCAGTCTTGGCTGACGCATGAAACTACCAGAGGTGAGCACAGCTCTCAGTATTCTCCACCTCTGCTGAACTTGTGGGTTGAGGCAGCTCATTTGTCTTTCTCTGCCAGGAGTGGAGTTAATGTGACGTGGGGTGACACGAACCAAGAATTAGCTTTGCACCCAGGCACAGCTTTAACAGCAACAAAGGCACAAAATCAAATCAGAGGACTCTTCAACTTTATTTTTCTCTCTTTTTGTTCTTCTCTCTGTTGCTTTTGGTGCTTTGTCAGTCCCTCCCAGCCCCTTCTCTCCAGGTTCATCTTGCCCTCTGTTACCTGTTCCAGCAGAATTTTTCCACCCAGCCATCTCTGCCACCCAGACAGGGCCTGAGAAAGTCTCTTGTCCACGCAACCTTCCCAAGATCTCTCTGCAAGGTTCATGGGCATCACCGAGATCTCCGAGTGTGAACTGCTCACTTCTTCATCAGGTGAGGACCCCTGCTTCCTTCTGCTAGGGAAGCTTGAGCTTCTCATCACACCCAAACAGAGGGAGATGAACAGGGAGGAGGGCAGAGGAAGGAGAGAGGCAGCTGTGATGATGGGCTGGGTGACCTGGTCCCCCTCCTGTTGGAGGAGTACAGTGGACTGCAGAGTGCAGGAGGGTTGGGGAGGAGGGAGGGTTGTGTAGCAAAGGGCTGTTGTAGAGCTCTCACCCCCTGAAATCACATATTCCTCTGCTTTGGATCAAACTATCAAAAATAGTTTGACAGCTGCAGCTAGCCCCACACAAAGATGAAATCATATCACCTTTTGGTTTACCCCCGGGGTTCCCTGCACCAAGTGCACAGCAGCCACAGTGTTAGCCACAGAAATGACAGCTCCACAACCTCCTGGGCTCCTCTCAGCTCTGTGACTCCAGATCACACACCTTTTGGGCTGGAACAGGCTTCTCCCCACCCACCTCCTCTGCAGCCCTCGTGTGACATCCACACACGTCCCTGAGCCTGCTGCTTTCCACTGCTCACTTAGCTCCTACATCCCAAGAAGGTGCTATCACTTTCTGCAAAGGCAGCTACTTCTCCCTAAGGAAAGAGAAGAGTGAAAGTGTTGAGGGAACATCAGGGGTCTCTGAAGAGCAGAGGAGGCAGAGATGAAAGTCCAGTAGAGATCTCTGTTATTGTTCTTGGAAGATACTCCATGAACAATTCCTGTTTGAGGAATACAGGGACCATCTATTCCAGACAAATGAAAAAAATAAAAATAAAATCATATGTTATCCAGTTCTATGTGACAGACACTGTTGGCACAATACAAATGTGTGTAAATTCACCAAGGATAAATTTATCTCGAGCAGAGACTGCTGTGGTGTTGTGGTGTTGAAGCTTCTGGTATGAGTTTAGACATGAAAGAACTCACCTGGCACACCACAGGGGCAAAAGTACTGAACTGTTGTAAAGGAGAAATTGATAAACTTCTGATTATGTGATGCAGACTATATTGAATAGCTGTGATTCAGGAGACTGTGTCCAGTCCTACATGCAACATTCCCAGTGCTGTGTCCCAGTCCTAGGAACGACTGAAATACAGCTTAACTAACTGAGCCCTGGTACAAGGAAATTAAGGCTGTTTCCCCCTCCTGCTGGGAGGCGACCCCACCTTTTTGCCCTAAATCTCATCACTGTCACTAGTGCTGGTCAGGAGAACCACAAGACCTCTTTTCTCTCCCCAAGCACTGCTGATTTTTTAATGAGCAGATGTCTCTGTAGAGAAGTCCCCCAGTTTCTGGCCAGCTGATGGTTTTGATGTGTCCATGGTCTGTGTGGCAGGTTCACAGGGATGCTGAGAGCGAGGACCCACAGGGCACCTCAGCTCCACTCCCTCCTGGATCACCAGGGGTCAGGGACAGCCCAGCAGTAGGGGCTGCAGAGCTTTCAGGGAAGATTCATCCTGGGGCAGAATGAAATCAGAGCTCAAAATATTGACCGAAGCCTTTCCTCTTCCCTGGAACGGAGTCATTGGGGCAAGCGGCGTGGCTGGGGCTTTGTAGCGTTGCTCAGGTGGTTTATAGCTGAGGGGGAGAGGAGCTGGAGTTGTGCAGTTTCCCCCGCTTTTCTGTCACCCTGTCTTCTTTACACCCCCAAAGTACTCAAAAAGGAACAAAAAGGGCGGAAAGGCAAAGTCTCCTGCCCGCCACCCACCCTGAGGGCTGTCTCCCCGCTCTCCCCCTCAGGCCCCCGGGAGCGACCCGTCGCTGGA